GAGAGAGAGAGAGAGAGAGCAGGTCTTGCTTGCTTGGTGGCGCTCAGACGAGCACAGGCTTGATTGAGGGCTCCTCAGCAAGGCTGAAGCCGCGGAACAGATCCTGTTTGGTTGGGGGGAGGGGAGGGGTGGGTTGAGAGGTGGAGGTTAAGAACAACCGTGATTATGTCGAAAACATCACGAGGCACAGGGAACAGGCAGAAAACGCAAGGGTGTGTGAACACACACACACATGCGCACCTGGTCAATGAGATCGAGCTCATGCTTTGCGAGTGGGGTAATAGCGGCGCGCTCAGACGTAAACTCGCTGTCAAAGTTGCTGGCGTCACGCGGGTTCTGTGCAGGGGAATCGGGAGCAGAAGGGGGGGGGGTTGTGGTTTTACATGAAAGGGGGCTGTGGATGAGTGGAGAGTGCAACTCAACAGACACACAGACAGGACGCATACACGCGCGCACACACACACACATACACACGCACACAGACACACACATACACACGAGACACAGACACAGACACAGACACAGACACAGACCTTGACTTTTGGCTTGAACGGGGGCTGTGTCTCGCGGTTCTCGAGCTGGGCCCACTTGATGTCCTTGAAGAAGGGCTCTGCGCGGATATCGCTCTTGGCGCTCGGGCCGTACCCGAGGCGGCGGCTGGGCACGCGGCACAGGAAGTTGGACACAATCTGAACAGCAAGAGCGAAGGGAAGGGGGACAATGAGGGGTAGTGGTCGAAAGAAGACGGAGGCCACACAAACATCGGTACACACTCGCCAACACAACAACACACAGACATCCAGGCACATCGAGACGCAGTATAAACAGCAGGGGCTTTGTGTGCGTGCGTGTGAATGTGTGCGTGTGCGTGCGTGCGTATGTGCGCGCGAGAGTGTGTCACCTGGCGCGCGTCGCGGCTCATGGTGCGGGTCATCTCGATGGGCTGGTGCAGGATGTTGCGGAACAGCTCCTGCACAACGGCAGCAAGTCGTAACAGTAGTGGTGGCGATGATGGTGAACGCAATGCAAGGAAGTGAACGCAATGTGAATACAAACATGGACGAATGTATGGCAAGGGCCACCCCCCCCCAAAAAAAATCCTCATTACAGCTCAGCGCAGCCAAGGCACTGGCCAAGCCATCCTCCTTTCCCCCTCTTCTTGGCCCCCCTCATCAAACACCGTGCATCAAGTAACACGCTAGCCGCCCAGCGCACCTGTTCCGAGTCGCCGTCAAAGAGGACAATGCCATTCATCATCTCGTACATGATGACGCCCAGGGACCACCAGTCCACCTCCTTCCCGTACGACCGGTACGTCACAATCTCCGGCGCCAGGTAGTTTGGCGTGCCGCAGAACGTGGATGTGCGCTCGCCCTCAGACAGGCCCAGCTTGCACAGCCCAAAGTCAGCCAGCCGCACGTGGCCCTCCCTGATCGTCAGTCAACATTGTGGTGGTAGAGAGTGGGAACGGGCGGCGAGTGAGCGAGCTTGAGGGTGTAATGCCGGGGGGGGGGGGAGGAGGTTGGTTGGGGCAGGAAGCAGAAAGGCAAGAGCACCACCGGCAGCGCGAAGGGTTTGCCGGACATAACGGGCCATTGCGTCAACTCACTCGTCGAGCATGACGTTGTCCAGCTTGAGGTCGCGGTAGATGATGCCTTTGTCGTGCAGATACTGCAGCGCACAGCTGTGATAGAGAGAGAGAGACAGTGAGAGAGAGAGAGAGTGTGTGTGCAGGTGTGTAATCTTGAGCAATTCGTGACACATTCATGCGATGCATTCGTGGAATGGGACTCACGTTCACACACACACACACACACACGTACACACACACACACACACACACACACACATACACACACACACACGTACACACACACACACACACACACACACACACACACATATAAAATACACCTGAAACCCCCCCCCCCTCCCCAAAACACCCACCTAATCTCTGCGGCGTAAAAGGTGGTTGCCTTCTCGGAGAAGCTGCCCTGCTGCATGGCGTGGAACATCATGTCGCCACCAGCAACCAGACCCATGACGAAGAACAGGCTCGACTGCGACTGGAACGCGCACACCAGCTCAATCATGAACGGCGCGCTGCGGCCATACCCAAGAACCGTCCGCTCAGTCTATCCAAAGGGGCGAGCGAGAGCGCAATGTGGGTACGACGTGTGCGTGCGTGTGGATGAGTGCATGCGTGTGGATGAGTGCATGCGTGCATGTTTCGTGCGAGTGCACGTGTACATGTGTTGTGCGGGAACTTGTGTGTGCACGCGTTCACGTGACTGCATACATGTGTGTGTGTGTGTGTGTGTGTGTGTGTGTGTCTCGGCGCGTGGGACAAGCATTCACGGTGCACATGACGCAGGTGAGCGCACGATGGTGGCTGCGACGTCGTCGTCCTCAATGACGCGCAGTTTGTGCAGCGCTTTGATGGCGACGAGCTGAACGCAGAGATGAACATGAGCAGCAATACCATGAGCGACGTGGACACGAGAGAAAAAAAAAAGGGGCGGGGGCGGGGGAGAAGCAAAATGGATGGCAGATTGAGCGTGAATGAAATGAATGAAATTGCGTGTGCACCGACACGCGCAGATCCAGACAGACCCAGACATACGCACGCACGCACGCACCTTCTTGTCTGTCTTGCGCTCTGCAAGGAAGACCTTTCCAAACGACCCGCGACCGAGGACCTTGAGGAGGTGGTAGTCGGTGATGCTGCCACCACTCGACTTGGCAATCGGCGCAGCGTTCTTCTTGATTGCTTCCCGCTGATGTGGGAGCAAGGGAACAAAGGCAAGGGGAAGAGGAGGGAGGGAAGAGGGGAATAGAGAGAAGGAGGAGGAGTGCACACAAGCACACAATTCGTGATGGCGTGCAAGTGAGAAGGGGCCCAATGCAGTGTGAATATTATGTGTATGCGGGTGTCGAACACAACTTGAGCAGGCAACAGAGACAATAAATGCAGACAAAAATAGGGTGACCAGCAAACAAGTCATGGCCGCCAGCACCGTCAGCAAGCAGACAGGTTGGTGACTCACCACACTGGTGCCGCGCTTGACCACCGTCTTGGGCACCCTGCACTCCAATAGCAGGACAGAGCAACATCAACAGCACATGGGCGGCGTGAGCGCAATGAATGCCGATAACATGCGCGCACGTATTAAGCGCGACACGCAAAGGGCACAAATTCCCGACCCCTGCTTCTTCACCCACTGATCTTCAGCTTGCAGTTGCCTGCAGGCAACGTGGTGCGCACCTGTCTGGGAAGTTGAATGTGGCGCCCTGCTCCTCATCGAGCAGAATGAACCAGTTGGACTTGACCGTGTCCTCGTCCATCAGCTCCTTGAACTGAACACGGCGATGATGAGGGGAAGGTGGTGGTGCAGAAGGAGGAAGGGGAGAGATGTGAGACAGTGGGCCGGGCAGCAAAAGTGCACAGGAAATTCAAATGTCACACAGACACACATACACACAGACACACAGACACACACACACACACGGAATCAAGGCAGCGTGCCGGTCATTGCGGTTTAAGAGGCGTACCGTGAACGCCATTGCGCCCATGAAATCGTTGCGCGTGACGCGGTCCCAGTCCCACACGGCCACGTGCAGCTTGCGGGACGCTGCAGTTGTCGACAATAAGAGGAACGATGTTGGTTGAGGCGGTGATGGGGGGGGGCAGCGTTTCACACACACACACACACACACACACACACACACACACACACACACACACACACACACGCATTTGTCGATACTGTTTCACATTTTCCTCCGCCACAACTTCGCATGCAACCGTGCATGCAAGAACACGCTACGCACACAGGTCGTCGTGCTTGCTGAACTTCCACGTGAACTTCTCGTTCCACACTGGGTTGAGCGTCTTCTTGACAATCTGGCATGGTGGTTAACAGCGACACATGTTCACGCCACAGCAACGGTTGAGATCAGAGGGCTGGGTAACGACTCACGAACACGCCAAGGAGGGCAAGATGCAGCCGCCCCCACCTTGCACGCGCGTGCGCACAGACACACTCACACACATGCTGCGCACCTTTGTCTTCTGCTTTGTCTTCTTGGAGGGGTCTGGGTGCACGTACATCTTGACATATGGGTCTGCGAGGCCGTTGAGGTCGGCCGGCAGCAGGTTCTTGGCCTCATACACCTGTGCAGCAGGGAAGGAGCAGAGGAAGGGGCGTCAGCGCTGTTCATATGTGGACGGTGTGTTGCTCAATGGCACGACGCTTGCACATACATTCACACACCATGCAAGGTACAACAACAACAACAACGGCAGCAGCAGCAGCAGCAGCAGCAACAACAACAACAACAACAACAACAACAACAACAACAACAACAACAACAACAACAACAACAACAATAGCCTACCTCAACCTCGAGGACAATGTGGTCGCGCGTCTCCTTGAGGACGACGGAGAGCTTGAGATGCCCGCGCTTCTTCTTCTTCACCGCTCCGTGGCGGCGGCGGCCCAGGCCCTGTTATGGAGCGTGGGGGTGCAGTGTTGGTTTCGAGGGGAGGTGGTGGTGGGTGGAATGAGGTTGGCTCGGAAATAGTACAAAAAAAAAAAAAAAAGACGACCCAGGCACAGACACAGGCACACAACAGTGTGTGTGCATCGTGTACGTACGCCTGCAGCCGGTGCAGAGCTGCGCTCTTCAATGGGTTCCGAGATGAAGCCCTTCTCGAGAAGAATCAGGTTGATGAACCTGAAAAGCACGCACACAAACACACATGCACATGAGCATACGTACACAGGGACAGGCGAATGCACCACACGGCACGCCCGTATGAGATGGTTGTCCGTCCTCAATCACACACACACACACGCGCGCGCTTGCGCTTGGGCAACTGACTCTCTGTAACGGAGGGTGCCGGAGTCGTCGTCGTCCACGCGGCGAATGGCGGCCTTGATTGACGCGGGCGGCAGATCCCGCCCAAGCGCCTTCAAACACGCGCCAATCTGGCATACACGAGGGGAACACACGCACATGCACAGCGTGCGAGCATGTGCAAGTGTGAGGAGAATGCGATCGAAAACAAAACCACCACGCTACTACACTGAAGCATGCTGACGAGTGCACCGGCCACACCTCGCTGAGATCAATGTCGCCAGAGTTGTTTGCATCTGCACGGGCAAACTCCTCCGCAATGCTCTTCAGATGGCGGCGCTGTGCACACACACACACACATGCAAAGAGTATGCAAACAAAATCAAGACATCAAGTCAGCTACTGAGCACAAAGGTGCAGCGTGAAAAATGTGCATCGTCGCCTGCCCCAACACCAGTGCAAACTCCCCCGACACCACCGCCACTGTTGTCGACCATAAGAGCGCACCAGTTCCACGACATTGCCGCGAGGCACTTTGGAGAGGTACTCCTTCTCAAAGGCCTACAACCAGGGACGGGGCAAGTGTGACGAGACATGAGCGCAGACACATCTTGGCTGTCGTCCATCACGTCCATCAAGCATCGTCCTTTCATCTCATCAACTCCAACACAACTCCAACACAACACACACACACACACACACACACACACACACACACACACACAGAGCACGCAACACACACACAGAGCACGCAACACAGAGATCGACGACGCACCTGGTTCACCTCCTGGAGGTGCTTCTGCACTTTGCGCGTGCTCATCTCTGCATCATCCGCCATGGCGTGTGACAGAAGAAGGGTTGGCAGATAGGGGAGTGAGTGCGTCGATCTTCAACACCAAAACAAATGAAACTGCAGTGCAGCTTGGTGACAACAACACACACACACACACACTCAGATACAGACACAGACACAGACACAGGCATGCGCAGAGGCAGAGAATGGTGTCGCAGGAACGCCCACTGCTGAAATCACCTCCATCACACATCACGCAGAAAACAAAGACAATCACGACCAAAACGAACAAGCAGCAGATAGCAAGAAGTGATGGAACACCAGCAGCAGCAGCAAGGGATCGATCACCTGACATGGCAATCCAAAAAGAGAGAGGGGCGGTGTCAGCAGCGAGCAACACAAGCAAGGTAGGAAGGAAGTGAGAGCAACAAGAACAACAACTGTCGACGCAACTCAATAATCAACAACAGGACAAAGTGGAAGAAGCCAGCCAGCGAGGAGCGGTAGGCTCAAACACGCAAGGACAGCTGCTGCTCGCTCGCTCACCTGAGGCTCTCGGCGAGTAGTATGGATCAGCTGATCTCTGTTTGTCTGTTGCTGAGCGAACTGGCCACTGCAACGAACTGTGTGCCGCAAAACAAGGGTAAGTGAGTGGTGAGGGCGTGGGGTGGGGGCAAGGGGAGCAGCTGCAATCAATCAAAGCATAACGACAAGCAACACACAAACAACAACAAGAAGACAGAAGGGTGTTCGTTGTGTTGGGTCGTTGTTGTTGTTGTTGCCACCCACCAAAACTTCTTTGGCTGACACCAAGGCAATGTGGAAAAATGATGAATGATTCAACATAATTTTCCCATAACCGCTTGCAGGAGGAGGACAGCTGCGTTTGTGTTGCGATTGTGCGACCTTCAACGCCACTGTCGTCAGCGATGTCTTCTGTTGTTGTTGTTGTTGTTGTGGGGCTGGTGGTGGCAGTGTTGCCTGCCTTGGCTTGCGCCACCAGCAGCAGCAGCAGCAACAGCAGCATTAGCAGCAATGGTGGCGTGATGGGTGTGCTTACTGGGAATCATGCATGCAGTGATTGGTTGCAAGACACGGACCTGTTTGGCAATGACATCAAGGAGGAAGGGTGCGTTGATTCGCTCTTTGTTTGTGTTTGTGTGTTTGTGTTCTTGCTTGTGTGTTGTGCTTGTGCTTTTGTGCTTGTGTATGTGCTTGTTGTATTGGACTGTTTGTGTTGGTGGCCTTGTATTACACACACACACACACACACACACACGACAACACAACACACACACACACACACACACACACACACACACAACTTTCGTGATCACACTGTGCGCCGAGCCGTAGTACAGAGGTTGCATAGGGTAACGATACCTCTGCATTCCCACACCTCTGAGGATCATCCAAGATAAGTCTCGACTCACAGCTCCGGCCTGGTAGGAGAAAACGAGCGGGGCTCGAAACCTTTGACCAACAACCGGTTAGGGTCACGACTCATCGTGTTGCAGGCAACAATGTGTTTCTACAAACGTAGGGTGCCACGCCGATCGTACATCCACCCTACCTAACCGCGAGAGGTAAGACTAGAATGCTGTACTCTATAGTTGCCGCGAGTTGGAGCGTAAGCGCGCGCAAACACAAAACCACACACAACACACACTCACACACTCACACACACACGCAACACACACACACACACACACACGCAAACACACACTCACACAACACACACACACACACACGCGCACACAAAAGGCCGATGACGATGGAAGAGTGCTGCGAGCGGTGCTGGAACATCAGCAACTGTGCTGGCGTCACCTTCAACAAGTCTCCGCCAGGTGCGCCACCAGCACGCACAGCGTATGCTTTGTTTGCCCGAATGCGCGTTGAGGGCCACACGCTATGTTGATG